GGCACTAGGGATATGGATCTTGGCTGAAAGTAGAGAGTGCTAGAACACGGTCCTATCTGCATTTCATCAACTATGCAAAGGAATTTGACTGTGTGGATCACAACAAAAGTGGCAACATTGAGAAGAACGGGAATCCCAGAACACTTGTTTGTGGGACCTATACCTATATTAAGAAGCTATTATCTAAACAAAGCAAAGGAGCACTGCATGATTCAGTATCAAGAAAGGAATGTGTCATGGATATATCCTTTCTTCATACCTTTTGCTGAACAGATCATTCAAGAGGCTAGACTTCATGAAGAAGAATGTGGCATCAAGACTGGAGGAAAACTCACAACAACCTGTGTGATGCAGAAAATACCACCTTGCTCTTCTAAACTGAAGAAGACTTGAAGTGTTTGCTGTAGAAGATCAAGGTCTGCAGCCTTCAATATGGAATGCATCTCAACATCAAGAAAATATAAATCCTCACCACTAGGTCAACAGGCAGCATCATGATGGATGGAGAAAAGATAGAAGTTAACTATTTCATCTTGCTCAAATCCACAAGCAACACCCTTGGCATCAGCAGTAAGGAAATCAAAAGATGCATTGCATTGGGAAAATGTACTGTCAGGGATCTCTTCATAGTGCTAAAGAGCAATGATGTCTGTGTAAAGACAAATGTGCACCTGATCCAAGTCATGGTCTTCTCAATTGCTTGCTACACATCTGATAGGTGAACCATTGTTCAGAAAAAGAATCAATGCCTTTGAGCTGTGGAGCTGGAGAAGAATACTGAACATTCAGTGGCTTGCCAAGAGATTAACAGGTTTATCCTAGAAAGGGTGAAACCACATTGCTTGTTGGAGGCTAGGACTTGAAAACTCTACCTCACATATTTTGGGCATGTTGTCAGGAGAGGTCAGTCTTTGGAGAATGATAGCAGGTGCTTGGAAGGGTAGAAGGTCAGCATAAGAGACTAAGAACCTGAATGAAATGGACTGACACAGTGACTATAGCAATGGAGTCAGGTGTGTTGGAGACAGTGAGGTTGGCTCAGGACAGGGCAAGGTTCAGAACTGTTGATCAAAATGTTTCAATGAGTTGTAATTGACTCAACAGCATATAACAACAGGCCTGGTTTTTTTGTTGAGTCTTGGGGTTCTCTTTATACATTATCATATTGTCTGCATAGAGTGAGGATGCCTCTAAATTCCTTCTCTTGCCTTAGTGACCTAGCTCGAACTTAGAATTATATTGAATAGGAGTCGTGATAGTAGGCTACCTTACCCAGTCCCTGTTCATAACGGAAATGCCTTTAGTCTCTCTCCATTGAGGATGATTTTGGCTCTTGTTTTTTCATTGAAATAAAATGAAATCTCTGACAACTTCAATCTTTTCTACATTTATCATGATATTTCTTACTGATTCAACTATGAAGATTTTTGCTGTTTATATTCAGATATAATCCACACTGAAGGTAGGGGCACTGATCTTCCTTAGTAAGTGCCTCAGGTCGTCTTCACACTCAGCAAGCAAGATTGTTCATCTACATATGGCAGATTTTAATGACTTTTCTCTAAACCTGATTCTGAGTCCTTTAAGTTCAGGTTCTGAGATTACATGTTCAACATACAGGCTCAGTAAGCATGGAGAAGAGATACAACCCTGATGCACACCCCTTCTGATTTTAAATCCTGCAGTATCCTCTCATTCTTTTCTAACAACTGCCTCTAGGTTTTTGTACATGGTTTGCATGAGCACAATTAAGTATTCTGGAACCCTCATTCTACACAAAGCTATCCATAGGCTTAAGTCTATATGATTCATAAAAAAAGATATGGATAGAGCCATATAGCCTTGAACCTGGTAAGAATTTCTTAACTATGCAAACAAAAGGACAAGCAACAAAAGAAAATAATTAAGCATTTAGAACTCTCCTTCATAGGGTCACTATGAGTCGCCTGCAACTCAATGGCACTTAACAACAATAACATAAACATAGAGAGAAAGATCAGCTGGCCCAGTGGACAGAAAGCAATGCTACCAAGCCAAAGGTGGGTGACTTTTAATCGGGCCAGTCTTTCATTGTTTTTGTTCAGACACTCCTCTAGGTCGTATAGCCCTGGTGTACAAGTTGCCATACAGCGGTCACTTGTGGTTGCTGTGAGGCTGAACACTGTGACACTGATGTGTCAAATGCTATAATGGCTGATTACCCAATGCGGAGAGAGAGTGGGGTGGAGCTCCCCGATTAAAACAAGCTTGGAAGGAGGAGTGGCATCCACTTCCATAATAGCTTGCCTCCGGAAACCCTATGAACCTGGAGAGAAGATGACAGACACCCAAGCGTTGAGAACTCTCTTTCGTAGGGTTGCTATGAGTCGCCTGCGACTCGACGACACTTAACAACAACAACAACATTAGACCTGATGAAGTCAAATTACAAATTTTTTAAAATTATTAAATTAAAAATGTTTATTCATAGAACCCTATTAACAAAATAGAAAGACAACTTAAAGAACAGGCATAACTATGTGGAAATCCCCGTTTGCGTAGGACCCAGGGCCTTCTGCAATGAGCTGCACTGCTAATCCAAAGCCCACACCTCTCTGGCAACTGTAATCCACCAGTGTGGCTCTGAGGGCCAGTGACGGCGAGGCGCTCCTGGTAAGAGTTACAGGCACAGAGACCCAGCAAAGGGTGACCAGGAGTCAGAATCTACTTGACGACAGTAGATTTGAATTTTTCAGTGTGATGACAAAATACAAATAACTTACATTTAATTCAACAACAAGACAAACATTCCTAAGTAGAAAATAAACACGACTTGGATGAAAATCTTCCCAGAGAATTATACTAAAGGCCAACAAACGTGCTTCCGTGACTACTGGTGATCGCCAGTGTATGAATGAATGAGTGAATGACTGTCTCGGTGTCAGCCCAGGAGGCTGGAAGGGTGGCAGGAGGATGTTGTCTGCAACTCCACGGAAACAGATTTAAAGCCCAAAAGACAGTGAATTCTGAGACCATGCAAGTCCTGTGGGCTTTTTAAAACTATTAAATGACACACAGTAAGACTTTTTTTTTTCAGTTAAGTGAACTCTCCAGTTTGTTGTAAAAAGTCTAGGTGAGATACAAAAAGAAGGAAACTTCAATGCCGTAAACATTGAAGTCTATGGGGGAGAGAATAGTCTAAAAGTATTATATTTTAGGGCATTATTTTTATCGTAGGAGTATGCAATGAGGGTTGTAG